TACAAGACGTGAAGGCTTGGGGGGATATTTTTTTGGGGAAACATTGTAAAATTGCGAGAAAACTAAGTAAAATTAATGTTAAAAAATATTTACCGCAGAGACGTGAACACCATAAAGTAGCACAGGGGCCCTTATATACTTTACACGGTGGCGCTTATACATTAAAATACTGAAGTTTTGAAAAATCATACTTTAGATTAAACCAAGCTACATGTCACGATATCGGAATGGGGTTATCTCATTATGGGGGGGTTAATCGTAACGTAATTAAGTGGACGCTCCCTAATGTTGTGCGATTTCTAATTTCCTTACTTGATGAAGACATCTGACTAGATGATTCAATTGAAGAGGCGCTTGTTTCGCCGATTATTCGAACTCCACGCCTACTCGGCGTGGAAGCGTTTAAACAGTTAAAGCGAAGCGCTAATTCGCGACTGTTTATGGGAGCCGCGGGTCAACGATTCATGCACGCACCTAGTGACTGTGAGTGAGCGAATCAAGGCAGTTACACAAGTTGCCACTCTCGATACACGTGAATGTATGAATGAATGAGGTGTAAATGAGACCATGTTTCACAAGACCATGTATTAGACCCAATGACATTTTATATTATCATTTTTCATACAGCGACATTAATAAAATTTCGTAGGTACTATCTATGTAGTGGTGTTTTTTGACAATCAATAAGTAAGTGTAATACGTCTATATTGAATAAAAAGTCTATATTGAATTAAACACACCTTTCTTGAAATTTGTCATGTCCAAGTCGCATGTACAATTTGGTTGCAAAAACTGTTAAAAGAAAATAAAATAATTTTGCAGATCTGTCCTACATATGACTTAATTTTATAATATATAATTTCTCCTTTTTTAAGTCGGTCACAAATAGTAGCTAGTGTAGTAAGTTAAGTCTGTTAAGATATACAACTTATCTGCCGTAAATGAATGATTTTCGATTGGGCACCGTCGTAAAAGTAAGGGAAATAACAATCTTACTGGAGACTTTGTTTACGTATTAAACCTTCCATAGACATGATTTCTTCTTTACAGTATTAGGATAGGATACCCTTAAAGCTTTAGAAATTCGGTACAAATATGATTATATTAATGTGAATATCAACCAAACATTCCGACGCTGTCTCCTAAAAGAAAAGTAAAGTAACAGCATATAAATGTCTCACAACTGGGCAAAGGCCTCCTCTGTTAAGAGGAGTCCACCACGCGACTCCACTGCGGATTGGCGGACTTCACATATTTTGGAAACATTTTTTTTGGCAGCACGTGATAATTCAGCGCTTAAAATTAGCAATTTCATTGGTGCTGCCACCGGGGATCGAACTCAGGTTGCTCGAACAAATGTAATTAAAGGCGAGCGCCCGGACACTGAGCTATCACGGCTCTCGAGTGTGCGGACTGAAGTATTGACACAATAACTGCTCTACCATCCGTCGTTCTGGGAAGTGCGCTGTCGACGATTCGCAATTTCGCCTGTCATAACAGACGTTATCCAACGGCATTTCATCCAATCCGGAACTAACTCCTTAAAGCGGTATCTGTCCTTAGTAATTGAACAGTCTAATTACCGATCTCGGTAGCGGTGACGATTTATTTTCTCTACGGGTACAAAATTACTACTCTATGAGTGTTATAGTTCACTACCCTGCCAAAGCTATGCTACAGCTTCAGTGACACAAAATGCCATGGCAGTAAAACAGAAGTTATACTTTTGTAATTTTTTTGTTTTTACGTCAAAGTTTGTTGTAGGTAACTGATGTTAGCGCTTTCAGTCTATAGTCTATTTAAGATTCATCGAACGGAAACACGTGCTCATTTATATGTTTATTTGTTATGTGCAGATTATATGTTTATTTTAGTGTAAAGTCGGTCAACTACTGTATTAATTCTTTGTTAGCATTTAGCATACTTCAATTATTATTTTTTTATTATTCTTTTTTTAGCAGTTGTCAATATAATAACTTTTGAATGTCGTTTCACCTGTAATTGAGATACCATTTAGTTGAAGATACTATGTACTTATTTATGTTTTAAGCTTGTTTTGATGTGTATCTTGTTGGTGAAGTAAATAAATAAATAAATAAATAAAATAAATTTGTTCTTTAACTTAAGGGTGTCTATTTTTTTTTTGTTTGTATCGGGGGAAAATCTTCAAAAGATACCCTGTTACCTGACATGACAGGGTTATTTGGACCTCGTACCCACTAAAACCCCGTTGGTGGCCACCTGATGCGCATTTGGAGGGTCTCCGGGATTTCCTTCGGAACGCACCGGTGTCCCTCGTTACTGCTCATATGAGCACGCCTCGGGGAAGGTTGGAAGGCTAAACCTTCCCCGATTACCTCGCCGTCTTGCAGCACCTCGAGACCACTTCGTACTGCTGCCAATCCTCGCCTCCTTTTAGTCGCCACTTACGACAGGCATGAGCCGGCTGTTTCTGCCACAGTAGCCCTCCATTTTAATATTTGAATATTAACGCAGAAAACCGTGGTATTTTCTGCCACGGCTATATACTGAGCGGAGACCTTTTTGGTGCATACATTGTTACAATCCTAGTGTTATTACTTGTTCTTTATTTTTCTCCTATGATGTAATGCACCGAATTAACATTTCTTTCTTTCTCGAATATGCTTGCTGAAGCAAGATAGCATCTGTACCTTTAATACCTTACCGACGAAAATCTTAACGTCTTCTTTCTACAGTGTTATTTAGCATTTGAAGCAATGCTTGGCGCATCTATTGTATGTATATATATATCCTTTCCAGCATACAAACAATTTCGAATATCGTTTTACAACGATAATTCAAACGAGAGATGTCGCCATTGCTCTTTATAAATTTAAAGTTTTTCAGTTTCATTTTAAGGTTTTCGTCGGTGTGGCAATCAGCCGTTAAGCTTAGTGGCTAGAGCGTCAGGCCGCGAATGCCGAAGACGTGGGTTCGATTCCCACAGGGGTGACAATCTTTTCGTACTTTTTCTACATGTTTTTTTCAATCTTAAGTGCAGAGATTAGCCCTATAAAAAACTTTAAATTTAATACCTTGTTAAGTTTCAGCGTCATGAGAGTTAGTGTGTGTCTCTTTTTAATGGCTTTGATCAGCTGACCATTCTATAGCAATCTATTGACAATATCACAGGTCGCGGCCGCGACATCTCGTAACTCGCGTCTTATACGCCCTCCTGACCTCATTTTTTTTTGAACTTACATAACAATGAATGCATGCGAAGGTTACGCGCGTAACACATTTAATTCAATTGTTCATGATTCGATTTAGTTTCTTCTTTTTTTTAAATCATTCGGTTTCTTTTGGGGTCTTCCCTGCAGGCGGTTTGAATTCAATGTACTCTTTAAGAGGACTTTAAATTAATTGGTCGCTTTTTTATCAAAATCATCATTAATCAGTAGATATATTGTTTCAGTTGGTGTGTTTAAGATCAGAGAACTGTTCTGTATCAAGCTCGTAAGCTTCTATACGAGAAGCTTTTCATACTTGTTAAGACTGAAATCGAATTCGTTATCCGACAAATACCTCCTGTTCTATTTGTACATACCTGCGATCTGTTTCAGGATGGTTCGAAGGCTGTTCTATTTGCTGTTCTATTTGTACAGTCCTGCGATCTGTTTCTAGATGTTTCGAAGGCATCCGAACGTATCCCATATTTGGGTCACCACACATTTAGCTTAATTGCTGCGCCGCGTTCGCAGCCGAGATTGCCGGCGTCGTACGATAGACAGTTGGCAATTGTTTTAACGTTGTGCTAACTGCGTTTTTGAATACGGCTAGACTAGATACGACATTAAAACGAGATCAAAACTGAATATTAATTCCGTAGAAGTTACACCGCCTTAACTCGTAATGTTACTTCCTTGCTCCTTTCTCGCATGGCTCTAGAAATTTGCGGCCCATACTATATACATATGTCCCGCTGCGGGGCTGGGAAAATCCCGTTTATCATGGCATGTTTCTGACACAGTAGAATATGACACAAATCACACTGCAAAACAAATTAAAATAGAATTTGAGCAAATATCTTTATTCAATATAGAAGCATCACACTTACCTACTTATTGATTGTCAAAATACTACTACTAGATGCATATTATAGTATATACTATTTTTCCGTGGTAGGCCCACGATAAAGCTTCGGATGTTGCACCTTTAGACATGTCAGTCCGCGTAAGAACCGCAAACTCACAGAAAACCAACGGGAAGTGTCATACTTCTGCGTTTCGTCTGGTGAGTGAGGTAGACGGGGCCCACTTTATTATACGGTGCCAACGCATCTGTGAGCCTAAAGATGTTGTAACTGTCCCATGGGCGCCGGGTCGCTTGCCACATTTTGACATAAAAAAATACTACCGGTTCGGAAAAAGGCCACTGACCTGAGAAGACGCTCGGAAAAACAACTAAGCGGGACATTTTTTTACCATTATTATAAAGTAAACAAAGACTTGCGGGTGTTCCAACTAGAAACTTTTTATATAATGTTTATGTATTGAAATTTATATGTATTTAATGATTATATGTAAAGTATTTATCTTTGAGTAAAGTATATGTCTATAGAATGTACCTTTGCTTTTTTTTGTTTTCTTTTATTTATTTTTCTTTAATTTATTTCGCGTATTTTGTTTTGCACCTGCGTCAAATTTTGTCTACTCCCAGGGTTGACTGGAAGAGAATGCTTATTAGCATTAAGTTTGCCTTTTTTTTAGCCTTAAGTTGAGGTGTAAACAATAAATTTTAAATAAAATAAATAAATAAAATAAACTCGAGATTATGTAGTCAGTAACTGTATATTATTGCATACAAATAGCTTGATTAATAGGTAAAGAAGGTGGACCTTTGTTCAACTTTTAAACCTTAAGCCTCTCGTTTAATATATAATTTTGCGTCATAAGTATTTTATCTTAAAGTTCAACTAGGTGTATATCGTTATGATGATAGCCAAGCTAAAATTAATTGCGATCATTTCTTCATCCCAGGCCAAAAGGCTCAACGGCAACGGCGAGCTTGCCGCCATCAAGGTGATAAAGCTGGAGCCGGGTGATGACTTCGCCATCATCCAGCAGGAGATACTGATGATGAAGGACTGCCGGCATCCGAACATAGTCGCCTACTACGGCTCGTACCTGAGGCGGGACAAACTTTGGATCAGCATGGAGTACTGTGGCGGTGGCAGCTTGCAGGTGGGTGGGAGTACGGCTAAGAGGGATCACCACAGCTAAAGTGGTGACTTGTATATAAATATTTCATAAATTGCAATACCTAAACTCCCAAGATCGTTCGACCAATCACTATGAAAATTGCTCGTGTATCTATTTTATCAAGGAAAACGTTTTTATGCTAGCTCCTTAAGTCTACCAGGTGGCGTTGCAGTAACTTCTATACCAACATCACTTTGACAATGGGTACAAATAGGGACTTATCCGAGTATGGCACATATTTCGCGCTATCGACTTCATCGTAACATGCCACGTAGATCCGAAAAAGTTATCCGTGCGATCAAATAGTTGTTCCGCGCGGGACCCACGACCCCTGTGCAATAATAACTGCTCTACGAACTCGTCGAACTATTTCAGGACATCTACCACGTAACGGGCCCTCTAACCGAGATACAGATCGCCTACATGTGTCGAGAGACGCTGACAGGGCTCTCCTACCTGCACAGCATGGGGAAGATGCACAGGTGAGACGATATATATACTCGTACATAACTTCCAGCCTTTACAGATCCGAAGTTCTAATTGACGCAGAACAAACACATTAAATATTCATGTTCTTAAGATTCGCCAACAATGTATACGTTAAGGTAAAATAACTAGAAAAAAAAACGCTGTCTTCATAACATAAGCTTATCCCCTGTATGAATTAAATTGCTATCTATTTACAAAAAAATAAATAACTTCTACCTATATGAGTATTTCAAGAAATTTATACTTCAACTAGCTGATCCGGCAAACGTTGTTTTGCCATATAAATTATTTTCAGTTTAGAAAAAAAAAATTGCTAAAAATCTATATCTATAATCTATTAAATACTTATTTCTGCCGAGTGGATTTCGTGAACCTTTACATTTCAGCTTAGCTGATGTTATGCAACTTTATTGAAGGCCATTTTAAGTACTGGGCCTAACGTATTGAGGATGGACACGGTGGAATGCTGTTACGGCGAGCGATTAGGATAATTTTTGATTAATTTCCATCTGCGCAATTGAAGTGTTGCTATAACATTTCAACAAATCTACACATCAAATGGTTTCGGCTTCCAATGTATCAATTTGTGACTTATTATTTATTTGTATCCAAGAGATGGCAAACATAAGTTGCTCTTTTGTAAATGTTTACCAACCGCCGCTTATTGACACCAGCGTGCGATAATGCTGATGACGTTGGATGGGCAGTGAGGTCCAGGTCCAAATCTTTAAAAGTCTACAACGCAGAAGCATATCAAATACTTCTATTTCGCGATAATCTTCCGTGAATATACAGTACATAACAGTTGAATATATTAACTAGTGTACACCAGACCTGCTTGATTGTTCCCCTTGTAAAATAGGCCCATGTAACCGTTTCAGGGATATTAAAGGTGCTAACATTCTCCTAACGGAGTGCGGAGACGTAAAGCTCGCCGACTTCGGGGTATCAGCTCAGATAACTGCCACCATCAACAAGAGGAAGTCCTTCATCGGCACCCCATACTGGATGGCGCCCGAGGTCTGTCCTATAACACTCAGGTTATATGCTAGATGCTAGAACTGTCTATCGTAGTTTCTGTACGGTCAGTACAGTCGCGTATAATCTCTTTATGCTAGAACTATTTATCTATCTTAGTTAATGGATCGCTCCCAGTCGCGTGTAATATTGCCAGCTCAGCGAAGGAAAGCTTCATAAGGAAGCCTGCATATTTTCGAAATAATAACATCTTTACTTCCTTACTAATATTATAAAGGCGAAAGTTTGTATGTAAGGATGGATGTTTGTTACTCTTTCACGCAAATAGTGATAGACTCTTTCACAGCAGCTAGAAATTTCAAAATCAGCCGCGGGTTTGCGTGGTGGACTCCCCTAATTTTTACAGAAATTTTGCCTAGCTGTGGGACATATATAGGCTGTTACTTTACTTTGTGTGTTTGAGTTTCCATTTGGGCGATTTGTTATGTTTATTGCACTATCGTTTGTTTCCCTGCCTTTCAGGTGGCCGCAGTGGAGAGGAAGGGTGGCTACAACCAGCTGTGCGACATCTGGGCCTGCGGTATAACAGCCATAGGTGAGTGTCTCACGCTGTTTTGATTCATATCCGTGGGTTTTTCGATTGGGTTTTAAAGTTGCCCGCGGCGCGATCTCACTAACTAACATCATCACGGTACCTTTTCTGTTTTTCTTATACTTTTTCTCATTTCTTATCCTTTTTCTTTTTTTCGTTTCTTTTGAAAATGTTTCCCTCACTGTGGGATAACATTATCCTGTGTTGCACTGACATCTCATAGACATACATTCGTGAGAAACACCCAAATCCGAAACAATTACTTATCTCAGCGTTCAAGGTCACGGGACCAGACAGCCCGTTTCTTTTCCCAATTTTCATTCATTAACTTCCCCAAACAGTTTCGTTTCGAGTCATTACTCAATCGAGTAAATACAAGGCATTATTACGAGTTCAATGTAACTTCTCTCAGAGCCAAATGTAATGCGTCGTAATGTGGAGTCTAGGAGTTGGATGGGCTCCGAGCGGCGGGAACCCGTGGTTTGGTTTTTTTTTATGTGAGAAACGAGTTTGCGATTCACCTTATGTTAAGTGATAACCGCCGCCCATGGACATTTGCAACACCCGTAGGCTTGCAGATGCGTTCCCACCTCACAATAAAGTGGATCCCGGCCATCTCACTCACCAGACGAAACGCGAAAGTATTATACTTCCACTTTACGTCGGTCTTCTGTGAGTACGCGGTACTTATCCGGACGGACCTGCCCATTTGTGCAACAGACGAATCTGTTTCGCGGCCCTGCCACACTTACATAGTGCTATAGTTGCAAGCTACGATTTCCAGAGCTGGCTGAGCTGCAGCCGCCCATGTTCGAGTTGCACCCAATGAGGGTGCTCTTCCTCATGTCCAAGTCGGGCTTCAAGCCGCCCCAGCTGAAGGACAGGGAGCGCTGGTCCCAGGTGTTCCACTCGTTCCTCAAGCTGGCCCTCACCAAGAACCCGAAGAAGCGGCCCACGGCCGACAAGCTGTTGCAGGTGAGCGGCACCGCATGTTGAAATACACAATTTTTTTTTTATGTGAAAAGTTGCCAAACTAGCACACGGTTCACCTGATGTTAAGTGAATACCGCCGCCCATGGACATCTGTCACACCCGAGGGTTTGCAGATGCGTTGATGATTCACCAATAACTCCCAAATCTAAATAACTTAGGAGTTAACGCCGCGGCCGGTGACAAGCGAGCTGGTTCTTTTCTGGCTCAAAGGTTAAGCATTACCATTCAGCGAGGAAATGCAGCTAGCGTTCTTGGCACCATGCGTGGATTAGGTTTATTAGATAATATGTAATTTTAGATAGATTTAATCTTGTAAATATTAGATCAATAAAGAATGTAAATTTTTGAAAAAAAAAAGAACTTAGGAGTTATTGGTGATTATCAAAAAGTTATCTTTGGTTGCCGAGATTTAATTGGTCACCAAGCATCGTGTCGCCTTTCGAGGTGTTCGCGCGCATGGTATAAATTTTGCTTTCATATTTTTATTCCAAACGCGCCAAAAGAAGAAAACTATAAGAAGTATTATTACCTAAAAATGGACGAAAAGTTGTTCGCCGCATTGGTAATCGAACGCACGTCTTCCGGAATCCATACGGTTTAACCGCCAAGCTAAACGGCCGATCGCCGTAACAAGCGATCAACGTAATGGGCTCTCGGGAAAAACTTCGTCCGCTTTTCTATTTCTCTCTCCCTCTCCCTCTCCCTCTCTCTCTCTCTCTTTCTCTTTCTCTCTTTCATCTTAAATGCTGATATTAGCACCGTGAAAACTTAACATAACGTTTGTTAATCTATACCTGTGAAATAATTGAGAGACTCGTTTTTTCTCCCTCAGCACGCGTTCTTCCAGCAGGAGATGAGCAAGCGGCTGGCGATAGAACTCCTGCAGAAATACTCAAACCCGCCCAGCCACTGCAACAGCCAGGAGTTGGACGAGGACGGGGTGAGTTTTTTTTATGTTTTTTTGCCGTGGAGGAATAATAAATATTTTTTAGGACACATTTTTATACAACGTTCTCTAGTCCCATATATAAAAACACTCGAAAAATGCCATTGGGACAAGACTAGTCGTTAATATAATCAGTAACACAGACGAAGTCGCGGGTATCAGCCAATCAATGAAGACTCCGTCGACTCGGGTCGTGGGTTTGATTCCCGCACAAGAATAATATTTGTGTGACCCATAGATAATTGTTTAGGATCTGGGTGTTTGTCCATGTGAAATTTCTGTACGTAAAACGTTCTTAGTTTAACAACATAAGATAGTGCTATACTACAAGGGGCAATGGTTTCGAAGGGACAGTAGATCTTCTAGGTCTCAGAGACCTTGTAGCAATTTCTAAAACTTGATATTAATAAACACTGAAACTGATAAACTACTTGATACTGATAAATGAGAAATGTTTGATTACTGAATGACGATTATTATGAAATTAAACAACGTTTCGTAATTGATTACTTAACGGTGCGTCTTCCCCAGAACCACAAAGTTAGCCAATCAAAGTACATAAGACACCAACATATCGAACGCTATCGCGCGCAGGCGATATCGAACGTGCCGCAGCGCATCGCGTCGAAGCACACGGGCCGCGGGCGGCGGATCGCGTGCGCGGAGGCCGGCGCGGGCGCGGAGGCACGTCCGCGCAGCCTCGCCGCCGCCGGCGCACTGGCGCCGCTCGCGCGCCCCGCCCGCCCCTCCTCGCTGGCGGGGGCGAGGGGCGCGCGGGCGGCCGAGCGGCGCGCGTACGACGACTCGCCCGTGGTGGACCTCGACGCGGACGACGAGCTCGCCCCCCGCGCGCCCCCTCCGCCCCCGCCGCACCACGCCGCCGTCGAGCCGAGCCGCAGCTGCGACGGCGACACCATCAAGAGGGCAGGTCGGTGACCTTTGTCTCGATAGCTTTGATGCTTATAGAACGTTCAGGAGGGCAGGTCAGTGACCTTTGTCTCGATAGCTTTGATGCTTATAGAACGTTCAGGAGGGCAGGTCAGTGACCTTTGTCTCGATAGCTTTAATGCTGAACTGTGTGGCAGTTCCACGCAGCAGCCTCTGCTGTTACACGAATTGGCAGACTCGTCCGGGTCAGTTCCACGACCTCACAAAAGACCGGCGCAAAGTGGAAGTATAGTTAATACTTTCGAGTTTCGTCTAGTGAGTGAGGTGGCCGGTGTCCGATTTTCAAAAGGTTATCAACGTATCTGTAACCCTCGGGTGTAGAAGATGTTCACGGGCGGCGGTATTCACTTAACATCAGGTGAACCGCCTGCCGCGTACGTTTTACGTACATATGAAATACTTTTTGGTCATTATTCCGAAATAGTGCAGACTGCCCCGCGACGCTTTCCGATAATGCCGGTACTTAATATTGAACATGCCTTCGAGATATGTCATTATTCCGAAATAATGCGGGTTTCCTCAAGTCTGTAGCTGACCTTCGCACTTTCAGACTTCCACCGGCAGTCGAGCGAGGACTGGAGCGTGGCCTCCCTCATGAGCTGCCCGAAGCACCACCCCCTCTCCCAGGACCTGGAGGACCTCTCCACGGACACGATGCCCACCAGCGAGAAGTCAGTAGACCACCCCGCCTATCGCTTCTCTCGCCGTATCCTACTATCTGTTTATTTATTCGCACTCTCTGAAGTTATACTTCTTTTAGAGTAAACCTAACACGTGAAATTAACACTTAAAGCTTGTAGATAAATCTCCCTTTGGTAATTTTACATGAACTAACCTGTTTTGAGTTGATTTATTTTATTGCCCCAAAGAAGTGTAACTTCTCACGTTTTCTTTTTTATCTGTAACGCCTTCGTTATTTTATAGCAAGTGGTGTCGGGTGATCACTGGTGATGATATTATGCGAATGAGTTTAAGGTATATTTTTTTTCTTATCCGTCTTATCGAATGTACCGAGAGTTTTCTTTTAACCGTTTCTTCCGTTTTTTTTTCCTGTATTTTACGTTTTCTTTGTTGGGTGCTGTCTATGGTTTAACCACGGCCTATTTACCGTGTTGGGTGTGAAGTGTTGAGTATAAGGAGTATTATCACTAGATGGCGTTACTGTGTGTGTATAAGTTCTGATTTCAGTGAGCATCAAAATTGGCGCTATTCTGGTCTTTTGTAGAAGTCTTATTATACAGGGTGGCTTTTTTAAAGGCGCCCAAATTTACAAAGGAGGTTCAGACTCGGTAGTATAATCGTTTATTGAAATAAAAACAAACTTTATTTTTTCAAAAAGATTGCAATTCCATCCGTAAAAAACAGAACTTGTCGACAATTCATAAGTGCGTCGTATATTTTCTTATACGAACTTGTGTGCGTGTTAGTTATGAATGATCGTAAAATAAATGAGTTGCCCATAAATCACGATAAGTTCAAATGAATGTTTTTAATTAATTACCAGTTATTTTAAATATTAATCATTTTTTATATCACATTATTTATGTCTGGAATTTAATAAAAAAATTGATTCAATTAAAAAAGCCTCCCTGTATCCATTTTTGTGGACGCTTTGTCTGTTGAAAACACATATGAGATATTACCCCTTATATTCCGCACTCTATAGTGTTGTGGGCCGCCATGTTTGTGTCTCTGTCTGTTTGATCGTTGTGGCGAATGCGAGGGGGTGGGCGGTTTTTGTTTCGTTAATGTCTCTATAGTGCATACTTGACAGTTTTTTTTTTATCGATACATTTTCTACTTTTGCCAAGGAGTCGTTGAAAATGTGATATATGTTGGACGGCCCAGACCACGTATTGTTAACGCATGTGTGAGATCGCTTAATCGATTAAATTAACTTAAAAGGATTTGGATTTGTTTTAATTACACATGTTGATATATGACTATATCCATCTCGATAAATAAATTGATTTTTAAAAACCAACCGGATATACGAACTCTTAAATTTTTAGTAAAGAGAATATTATTTTAATTATTCCTTTCACTTGTCAAAGGAATGGTAAAACAATCACTAAGCTAGCTAAGCTAGGCTATACTAACCAAATCGCACAGTTAAGCACATGCTTGAAGATATACTAGATTACATTATAACACATTTGGGATAAAAACCCATCGGCTACCAGATTCGACACTTTTACGCCCGGTTTCTGAAACACTGATCATCGTAAAAATTAACTACTCAATTCTAAAATTATTATCCTTTCAAACGTCATTTGAGTTGCCAAAAGGATGGTTAAAGTATTTGAATTGATCATTCTGGTATTTAAGATGATTTCTGATCAATTCAAATGCCGGCAACTCAAATCCATTTATTTCAGAAACCGGGCGTTAATGTCGCACCTGCCATATAACAGGACTCAAAGTGTTTGTATTAAAAAAAGAACGATCAAAACATGTTTATTTATTAAACACAGAGATTTCAGTCACACTTTCAATGACTCCCAAGGCCCTAATCTCTAATGGATAGGCAATTATGCCGCGTGTTGAAAGTTTGCACTTTGGACATTAGAATAGAACACGAGGGTTGTATGTTAAATGCATGGACTCGCTTTGCGGTGGCGCGTTGTGGCTTACTAATGATACGGAGCCTACACTAAACATGTTCATACAAGTGGGTTCAACACCATTATATACCAAGATATTACTGGACACTTTAATTTTTTACACAACGCTATACAGTTCCAAGTTAAGCATAAATTTTACTATTGGTACTAGGACAACGATATCTAGTCCAAATTTAAGCGTAGTTTGTACTATGGGTACGAGGTAACCTGATAAATATTCTTTTATTCTATAAATAAATACAGATTACTGATATAGGAACACCCAGAGATTGGAAACATATTGTTCATCGCACTATTATTTCCAGTAGTTGGGATCGAACCCTTATTCTCTGACGTATGACACAGGTACACTATCTACTACGCTAATCGGGTCGAATAGTAGTATCTACAATTCGGATACCCCTTTTAAGTGAACCCAGTGACAGCTTGCTGTTAGATAACCTTACTTGTCACTACATTGATGGTTAGTGCTAATTTTGACCTTTCTGACCTTCGCAATGTAACGAAGAAGTGTGAAGGTCATTTACTAAATGTCAATAATTCTATGTGATCGTGATCACAATTATACCACATATTTCTCATAATTTACTAATTCTGTTATTAATTATTGTGAGTGGGAAATTATATTAATTTTCTGGGGCTACTATCAATTGTTATTAACCTGAAATTTCCTTTACGCTAAACTGCAATGTAATGCATTTCGCAGAGTTAACAGTGAACTGAATATATGATGTTATTTGTGTGTATATTGAATTTAAATTGTACATAATTTTACCGTTCAACAACGCTACACTCTGAAACATTTAAAAACGGTTTGAAATTTTCTTTCTTAACTTTAGCATAGACACTTTGTAAACACGATTACAAATTTTTGAACGTCAACTTGACATGACACTTCAAAATGCCCGCGTCAAATTTCAATGTCAGGTAAGATTACAAAATGGCGCGGGAGAAACTGCTAGGAGTTAGCTCTTTTGTTCGACTGTCGTTTTCATTGCACTGAGCGGTATGGTCTAAAGTCGTGGAAAAAAATTACAATATCTTTGAACATTTCAATTTATGAATTTTGTATAATACAGCTTTTAAAGTTTAATCTTTTGTGTTTCCTCCTTTCTTTATCCTTGTGTAGTAAGATTTTTTTCCTAATTTGTTAAGTGAAGCAAATAAGTTTGTTAGTGAGTTAACATTATTGAGGTCAAATTAATTAAATTGTAACATCGAAATAAAAAAAAAGCAATGAATATAATAGCAATATGGTTTTACTGTCCTTTCTTTTACCACAAAGTTTTAGTGTGGAGTTTTTTTCCTTATTTCAAACTGTTTACGAATTTATTTCTTCATTTTCCACTTGCGTCATGTTTCATAAAAACTGAGCTTCATTTTTAACAAGTACTAGTATATCTTCCATTTGGATTTTTCTCTTATAAATTAGGACTTTGCCTTTTTTCTTTTTTTTTTATCCAAAATGAAAAGAAATATTCTATGGGTGTCAGTCATTTCTTTTCTGAGAACAAATGGTACAACTGTATGATGATTGTCTGTATGGAGAAATCCGAAGACGTTAAACTATTACAACAATATTAACTTCTTATCTCGAACAAACTGACATTTCTAAGCAATCTCTCTTGCTTTTTTATTTCTTTATCTTCTTTTTATTTTCCAAGTATCATTCGTGTATTAGTACTTATTCTTGTGAGTCTAATTACCTACGAAGTGTAAAGCTGGTACACAACTTTAGACCGTAACCGCCATAACAATAAAGTACATAACGGCGCACCGCCGGCACATGTCTGTAAGATGTCTCTCTTGTTTTAGGAGCCTCTTGCAATATATAGACGAAGAGTTAATGCTCAGGTAAACGGAGAGGTTTTACACTGCATGCTCAGAGTTCGTTACTTGTGTAGATAGTCTGTTGTGTACGCTGTTCGAAAGAAGTTCTTGATACTTGAATTTTGATACTTGAAAGTTCGCGATTGGATCAGTAAGACATTTAGAGCTCGAGAAAGGCTGGACTAGCTATAGATTCGATTACTGGACATGGAATTTTGATGTGAGTATTGTGGAGCTTACGTCAAATACCTATCGCTTGTAACCAAATCTACAGATAGATACAATATTGAAACCGGCCGATAATCTGACAATTTTTTTTTGTGTTCCCTGAATTGACTGTCTATAATTTGTGCACTTTCCAGGAAAGCGTAATGGAGGCATTTTTGAAAAATATAGTTAAAAAATAGTCAAATAATAAAGTTATGATAAATGCACTGAGAAATAGAATAGCTTATTATAATGTATTCATACGACGTACTTGATTGTTCTGCTTATATAGAACTGTAAAAATAATAATTTTGAACTGGAAATAGCACAAAATTCAGCTTTGACTTATTTCGAACAGCTCGGTTATATAACCACCACCTATTGTTGATAATTATGACTTCTAAATGTATCTTGTGGTAGACTTATGAAAAAAAATGCTACATCTCGAATACCTTTTGCTACACTTCTCTCTATTATTATTATTCATTTAACAGCCTTATATTTTTTGTTTTAATTCCCGACTTTTCGGACCCTTTACAGCTTTCATGGTTATATGTAAATTCGTGTTAAGGGACAATGTTGGAGTGGGGTAAAGATGAAATAGTTTGGTTTTGCTATACAGGGTGTTTTTTTCAAAGGTGCCCAAATTCACACAGGAGGTTCAGACTCGGTAGTATAATCGTTTATTGAAATAAAAACAACACTTTATTTTTCAAAAAAATTGCAAATCTATTTCCTTAAAAACAGAACTAGTTGAAAATGCGGTAGTCATTCATATATGCGTCGTATACTTTTGAAACGAACTTGTGTGCGTGTTAGTTATGAATGATCGGGCGTAAAATAAATGAGTTGCCCATAAATCACGCACTTTTTGAGATTAGTTCAAATGAATGTGATTAATTAATTACAAGTGATTTTAAATACTTATCTTTTTTATATAACATCATTTATGTCTAGAATTTAATTTAAAAAAATGGATACACTTAGAAAAGCCTTCCTGTATAAGTTCAACAAAGCATATAATAGAATAGTGCCAACACAATTCAAAAGATGGCGCGGAGACAAATTTTATCATAAATTTTTGAGATAATTTTATATTCAATAAAAATCACGTACTATTACAACAGCAGGAATTTCTTCATTATTTGTATGTTTTTGTGGTTTTAAATAAAACCAATGTCGCCTCTTGATTTTTAATGTTGTAATTAGAACAATGTGATTGGTTTAACTTAACGACGAGGTATAATTAGAAGTCATAATTGATATTCGCTTATTATTGCTTGTTTAGATTGGTTATTTTAAATGTATATACATCGTTAATATTTTAAAATAAACTAAAGACTAAATAAAATAACGTTGTGTTGGGCACTTGGCATGGTTTATATTTATCGACAATCCCGCAATAGCTGAACAAGACGATCTGCTTAAAAATCCTATAAATAAATATCGTAAATAAATCCCGAGGTTGGTACTAAACGGGAATCGTTAAAACGTTTTCTGTTTTCGATCCTCCACAGTTTCCGTTCGATGTTTCTACCCCACCAGCACCACTTGTTATTTAAACTGAAACCGAATATACGGTTAAAAACAAACACTGACCTATTCGTGCCTAACTTTGACCTTGAGGTTCCACGCTTGAAGGCCTAACCCCACCGCATCCCGCTTTATATACCGGATCGAACGGAAATCGTTCAGCGAAAGTGACAGCATTCCGTCCGCAGGGCCACCCTACCCCTCACCGCGGAGACCGCCAACATGGCGCAGGGCAGCAGCCCGCTCTCGGTCCACGACCAGCACCTCTCGCAGTGCATACAGCTGAAGCAGAACTACCTGAACAGCACCACGAACATATACCAGGGCCTAGCCGCAGGCTTCCGCAGCGCGGACCCGACGGAACCCCCGGGGGCGGAGCCCGAGCTCTCCCTCTCCGAGGGGGCGGAGTCCCCGCGGCGGAACGCCAACTGCGAGTGCGGGCTGTGCCCCAGACCGGAGCCCCGCGGAGACAGCCTCAGCGACCTCCAGCGCTCGGTCGCCCGCTGCGGCTGCGACGCGTGCTCGACCAACGGCGACATACTTGGCCAATACCGCCGCTGCCCCAACTTGAATCGCGACACCGGTATAGTCTACTGCGAGGTGTGCGAGAAGCAGAAGATATCCGTTTCGAACTTCCGCGCGCTCCGAATAGCGAACAGGCTGAGGTTGGAGAACGGCGCCGGCTCCGACGAGGACCTGTGCCGCCGGATAGACCTCAGCATGGACCTCGAGGAGGTCTACGACCCGAGGAGGCGGCACAACGGCCACGGGGAGACCGCCGCGCCGGGGATAGACCTCGGCCAGTTCTGCCAGTGCGAGCTGGAGAAGCGGAAGACCTCGTCGGTGGACGAGATATTCCGGATGTCGGAGGAGGCGAGGGAGCCGGCCCCCCCGCCGGAGGACGAGGCCAGGGTCGGCAGGCAGCGCAGCCTCTCCGACAGCCAGCGCGACAAGGCCAAGGTGGACGGAGACGGTGAGCGGCTGTTCAGTAGACCGTTTTAGATATAGTTACTTTCGAATTAGTGTGGCTCGTTGAAACGAGCCTCGCGGGAGTACGGAGCTATTTAATTATCTACCAAGTCTTTTTTAACCTGATGTCAATTACCGCAGCCCATGGACGATTGCAACACCCGTAGGGTTGCAGATGCGTTGGCCACTTGGATAATGGGCCACTTTGCCTCGGCCACCTCAGTCACGAGACGAAACGCAGAAGCATGATACTTCCGCTCCACGCGGCCCTCCGTGAGATCGTGGCACTTATCCGGACGGACCTGATATGTGACCCTACCACCGCTACGCAACAGTCATTGCTTATTTGTTAAAATAGTACTACCGGTTCAGAAAAGAAAAGCCGCTCAAGTATCGAGTGTCAGTTCCCAAATGGTCAACTTATTGACTACTACTACGGATAGGGAATAGCAACTTTCGTGTCAAGTTTGAGTCGCCAACCCGTTTCCGCCCCCCAGTGGCCCACCCGGGGGCGGGCGTGGCGGCCGGTGCCCCCGCGGGGGCGCCGCCCGTGCCCCCGCGCAGGGCGCGCTCGCGGCGGGCGCACACGCCGCCCCGCCCCGCGCCCAACGGCCTGCCGCCCACGCCCAAGGTGCACATGGGCGCCTGCTTCTCCAAGGTCAGTCTCAAATCACTTGATTATATACACCTATCTTCTTAGATAACTTAGTTATATAGACCTATCTTCTTAGATAATTATATAGACCTATCTTCTTAGATAATTATATAGACCTATCTCGTATATCTCTTACTAGCTTTTCGCCCGTGGCTTCACTTGCGTTGAAGCCCTTAAATAAATATCTATCCCCTTTAAGAACCCTTTATAACCTTTTTTCAAATTTAAAAGTAGCCTATGTCCTTTCTCAGGCTCTAGACTATCTGTGTACCAAATTTCATTTAAATCGGTTCAATAGTTTAGGCGTGAAAGCAAGTCAGACAGACAGACAGAGTTACTTTCGCATTTATAATATTAGTATGGATATTTAATATTAGCCTAGTGACTACCGTTGTAATCTAAAACTTCTTTGTTAGTTGACAACACATCTGCTACCGATATGTAGATGTCCATCGTCACCATCTCATATAAATTTGAGTTTAGTTGTAAATAGCACTTCATTGACGTTCTCAAATGTTGATTGTTTTATTTATTCACATTAGGTGTTCAATGGATGCCCCCTGAGGATAAACTGTACAGCCTCCTGGATACATCCGGACACGAGGGATCAGCATATTCTAATTGGTAAGAAAATTGGTCTTAAACAGAGGATAGGACATTTATTGGCTTTTACTTCAAGTGCCTAAAGTAAATGTAGGCATAGTCCACCACGCGGCCCCACTGCGGATTGCTAGACTTCACATATCTTCGAAATATTTGCATTTGTTATCATTTAGAAAATATGTTCGACGACGTGCTGATATCTGTCAGTCACCTTTTAGTGAGTTTATTTGTCCCCAACAGGCGCCGAAGAGGGTATCTACACGTTGAACCTGAACGAACTCCACGAGACCGCTATGGACCAACTATGTCCGAGAAGAACGATATGGATGCACGTGATAAAAGACGTTCTAATGTCGCTTTCTGGTGAGTGGAAATTCGTCTCAATATTCCTATTCATTAAGAGATTGATGTTTGAGCTCTCAGTAATAGCCTTTATAAGAGGCAGGTTTCCACGAACCTAATACGCCCCTCTTGAGTCTTTGCATCAACAAAGTTAAGGTGTACGAGGCAGGGCCTTAAATTTATTCGTTGGCTGGTAGCGCTGTTAGCTGTCCCCGAACGTGGAACTGTGTGTGTTTGTATGTTAAATAAAACTAATTTTGGGGATTCTTTTGCGTTTGTCTTTTATTTTAATCTCGAACGTGTCGAACCCCTAGTCTTTTTCCAATGTCCGTCACAATTACCCGCCAAAAGATGGACCAAGATCGTTATAAGTGAATGAAATCACAACACTAGATTCCGTAATAGGGTCGAGACTCGACTAGGGTTGTTCCCATAGCTGACCTTATATCGTCCCTTGGTCCCCCCAGTCAAAACACTGTCTTTGTTACACCTCCTCAAGTATTTACAATATCCTAATGATTACCCACTGAAAACACTACACCAGCTTCCGCAATAGGGTCGAGACTCGACTAGGATTGTTCCCATAGCTGACCTTATATCGTCCCTTGGTCCCCCCAGTCAAAACACTGTCTTTGTTGCACCTCCTCAAGTATTTACAATGTCCTAATGATTACTCACTGAAAACACTACACCAGCTTCCGCAATAGGGTCGAGACTCGACTAGGGTTGTTCCCATAGCTGACCTTATATCGTCCCTTGGTCCCCCCCAGTCAAAACACTGTCTTTGTTGCACCTCCTCAAGTATTTACAATGACCTAATGATTACCCACTAAAAACACTACACCAGCTTCCGTAATAAGGTCGAGACTCGACTAGGGTTGTTCCCATAGCTGACCTCGCATCGGTTTTGGACCTCCCTCAGGCAAGACGCCGTCGCTGTACCGGCACGAGCTGCTGGCGCTGGTGGGGGGCGCGAGGGGCGGGCGCTCCCTGAGGGTGCTGCCCCCTCGGCTGCTGCCGCGCCGCTTCGCGCTCAGCACGCGCGTCCCCGACACTAGGGGTGAGTGACGCTCGATAGCACAATGTCCACAGAACACGTTCAAATAGTGTGTGTGTACATATGTACACGAGTTAGAAAAAATAGTCTATGTCCTTATAGTACCTTATAGTAGTCCATATAGTCTATATACTTCTTTGGCGTAACAAAATAAAAATCTTTTCAAAAATTTCATCTTTCTGCTTATTCTACGTTTGTAGAATGACACTAACAGTAGAAAAAAGGTATTTAATTACATTGAAAGTTTTATTATAACGCATCATCTAGTTTATTTAAATATCACAAAATAAATATCGTGAATACAGTTGTCAGTTCTCACGCAAACATACATAGGTGTCTAGCTAACTTCAGGGTGTCGGTTTTTCATGGCTGTGTGCGCGCGCATCGTAAAAATTTACCCTCATAATTTTTCCCTAACGCGCCGATAGAAGTATAACTTTAAAAATAAAACGTTAAAAATTTAATTAATTATCGGTAAACTAAAATATTCCGGCAAGTTTCTTTCAACCGTTCTTCTCAGGTCAGTGTCTTTTCTTTTTTTTACGAATCGTTATCAGTGTTTTAACAATCAATAAGTGATTGTAACGCTTCTAAATCGAATAAAGATACAGTGGACCCCCGGTAATCTGATAAATTTTTTGCAGGGCGGTTTCGGACCCTGATACTCTCTGTATAGAGGAGGCCTTTGCCCAGCAGTGGGACATGTATAGGCTGTTACTTTACTTTTTTACTTTTTAGGGCGGTGTCGGACTATCGAATTTGTCTCATTATAGAGTTCTCTCTAAGACTCCTCTTTAGTCCGGAATTCTTTGAATTAATGTGTCTTGTAATCCGACAAAATGTAATTCTATCTGAACTACAAATCGTACACACACATATGTAGTATACGTATGTGTGTCGTATTTAATAAACAAAACGCGTCAAGCACAGTATAATGGAGGCGCGTGCAAGTTGTAATCGTATATTACCTACATTAGTGGAGATTTGCCAATATAATGTTTGTGTCTACATTTAACAAATACCTACTGTGATAGGCTTGTCGGATTAGGCAGGGCCGGATTACCGGTGGTCCACTGTATTTGAATATGAATAAATTAATAAAATATTCTGACTAATCCTGGACTAATGTCGCCCCCAGGCTGCGTCCGCTGCGCCGTTGCGCGGAACCCTTACAACGGGTACAAATACCTGTGCGGGGCGACGCCGGCGGGGCTGTTCCTCATGCAGTGGTACGACCCGCTGAGGAAGTTCATGCTGCTCAAGGTATTCCCATCTTAACGGTGGCACGGCCACGCAGCGGCCTCGGCTGTTGCACGATTGGGCAGGTCCGTCCGGGTAAGTACTGCGACCTCACGGAAGACTGGCGTGAGGTCGGTAAGTGAGGTAGCCTGCGCCAGCTTTATTGAAAGGTGATAAAACCTGCGACCCTACGGGTGTTGCAAATGTTCGTGGGTAGCGGTTATCACTTAATATCGGGTGTACCGCTAGCTCGCTTGCCACCTTCTCCAATAAAAATAGCTCGGCATTATGCGGTATGTAGCCGTGTTAGAGTGATCGTATATTTGTATTTAACAACGCGAGGAAAACTATTTGAAGTTTTTTTTTTTATGTGAGAGATGAAACGCAGAAGTATAACAGATACAGTACTTATAGTCTACAGTATATGTTGTAATAAAAATGCGAGAACACTCCTGCGCTCAGTGGCACTCTATTGTTACGCGTGAGCCTAATAATGAATATATCATAAAGAAGACCCGTGTTTATTAACGACAGCGCCATCTATCCGTGAGAAATGCTCAACTATGAGGATTACGAAAAAAAAAATCAAAGCGCAAAAATTAAACGCTTGCGCTCTCGCTCGCGCCCCGGTCCAAATAGCTATCCGTCTCGTTCCCACCGCACGTGCACTAGCCATGTGAATGTTGTCGCTCTGTCCGTCCAAAGAACATCGAGTGCGTGCTGCCAACGCCCCTGTCGGCCTTCGAGCTGATCATCACGCCGGAGCTGGAGTACCCGCTGCTCTGTGTCGGCGCCACCAGGAAGCCGCTGCGGCTCAGCCTCGTCAACATCAACTCTGGTGAGCGGGGGGCGGGGGGGGGGGGGGTGTCTTTGCTAACACTGACGTCTGTTGCTACGAGCCGTTATCGCGGCTTTTTACGAAATGGGGGCAGGGGAAGATCCCTGCTAACACTGGCATCTGTTGCCTTTATCATAACTTTTCGCGAAACGGGGAACTTTGGGGAGGTCTTTGCTAACACCAACGTCTATTGTTATCAGCTTGTTTATTACGGCTTGGTGAGATGGTAATGGAGGGAAGTCCCCTGCTGACACGAATAGCGTACCTCAATGAGCCTGTACAACATCGCCTTGAAATTAACCCACCAACTTAGTACGAATCTATTATATTTTGACTCGGAAACAACTTCAATCACGTTATGATCATTCGGTCACAGGCACGCGTGCTTTACGTATAATTATATCTTTATTTTACTTTTACCAATCTGTACACACGGTAGACTTAATATTTGAGGCAATTTGTACCAGTGAGTCAGTGACAGTTAACGAATTGTAGTATATTATTACCGTCTAAGGCTACGTTCTTTTGTTACTGCAATATCAATTTTTTACCCCTATAATCTTTTTTTATATTTCAAGTATTTATATGCGTTCGTTATTGTAAATAAATAAGATAATAACATGATATGTATAAGTGTACACAAAGAAAGTGTAAAAATTACACAATCATCATACAATATTTATTCCAGTAGTGGGGAATTGAACCCACACCCTCTGGCGCAAGAGAAAGTCTTACTAACCACACCGGTTCATTTTACGATGTGCCTTATCCAAACACGGGTCTAATGGGGATGGGATTTGTCCCAGGCGCGACGTGGTTCCACTCGGACGAGCTGGACGTGGGGGTGGGGGTGGGTGGTGCGGGCACGGTGGTGCCTAGGCCCGAGAGGCTTCACACCCTCCGCGCAGTGCACCAGCTGAACAAGGACGCGGTGAGTGGTGCTCCTCTTTCTTTTCGTTGTTCACGGTCACCTTACAGGTGGTAGCGTTATGCATCGTGACTACGGCTATGGTCCTATATATCTATGACAGCTCCGTGTCTGGCTGCATCTAATTCAATGCACTCGTGCAACATAGTTTTGTTATGTTTGATTATTCAAACATTACCCTCACTGTATACATGACCTTATACTGTGTTGTAAGGACTTTTTACATACATGAATATCACGTGGACGAAAATCCAGAAATGATAGTCACCTGTGGGTCACAAAAATAGTTGCCTCGTGTGACAATCGAACTCTCGACCCCCGGCGCTAGAGCCGATACCTCCGCATCTGCGCCACGGCGTCATCATGGTCACCTTACAAGCCGTAGTAGTTAAGTGATGGCGTGTTACCGCAAAATGGCGAGTGAAATGGGGAAGCGTTCTTATTGTTATGCGGTACAGAGGGGCATTGTATTCCACAGATGCGTGTGAATGCATGAAAAGGCTGAATGTTGAAACCTTGGCAGACGATCTAAGTTTATCGTCCTAATTATGATTGCTACGGCTGATGCCTTGAGATGATATAATAGTAAATAAATAAATATTATAGTAGAAATTTTTACACAACGTTCTCTAGCCCCAAACTAAGCAACACTTGTACTATGGGTACTAGATAACTGATAAACATACTTAAACACCCAGACACTAGAAAAACACTATGCTCATCACACAATATTTTTGAAGCAGTGGGGAGCGAACCCAAACCTTCTGGCGCAGGAGGCAGGTGCACTACCCACCACGCCATTCGGGTCGTGATGAGTGTTGAGATCCGCCCAACCCCGCAGGTGCTGGTCTGCCACGAGAACACGGTGGACATCATCCCGGTGCTGGAGCGGAGGCGCGCCGACGAGGAGAGGCGGCGCAACAAGCTCGTCCCCAGGATAGAGTTCGACTTCCACATCGAGAGCATCCGTGAGTGGCAATCACTTCGAATCTCGTACACACCCCTATCTTTGATTCGACCTTAAGGCCCGAGACCATGTGAATTTAATTAATTAATTTATTTGGCGCGGTCAAAAATAAAAATTATACCATTAACTAAATTATAACGGGCCAGTACATATTACTAAATTTGCATTTACATAACAACCGAGTACATCATTCAATTTAAATGTTTTATTGATAATATATGTAATAAGTTATACTTACTAATTTACTCCTAAGAAAGAAGCAGACCAATATTTTCAAATGATTTATTCTTTTTTAATATGATGTCAAGTTTTGATGACAAATATCTGTCTCTACATAAAATATTATAGTGTCTACCCATCCGAATTAAGCAACTATTATGAGATACATTATTCCGAGTAAACGGTATATGGAAATGGATGTAGATGATTATAAATAAAAGAAGTAAAGTAACTAAACATAACCCACTGCTGGGAAAATGCCTCCTCTGTACAGAAGGTATTAGTACATAGTCCACCACGCGACCCAGTTGCGGATTGGCGGACTTGGGATGATTATTGTTTAAAAATTTTCTACAAATGCATTAAAAATAGAATGTACTAGATAAGACGCCGAGAATTTCACGTGGTGAAAATCTTAGAAGCTTAGTAGCTCAAGCGTCTTCTTAATTCAGAAGGCTCAAGTACTATACCATGCAGCGGCGACATATTTTAAGACAGTTTTATCTAAACTTATAAATAAGTTTCATCTTAAGTCAAACGTCTATTGTTTCTATCCAACTTCTGTCTTTCTATTCTGAAGACACGAGAGCTTGTTTGATTTCCAGTGTGCTTGGCGGATTCTGTTCTGGCCTTCCACCGGCACGGCGTGCAGGGCCGCTCTTTGAGGAACGCTGACGTCACCCAGGAGATCACCGATCTGTCGCGCGCCTACCGTCTTCTCGGCCATGACAAGTGAGTCCACCCTCATAGACTCATAAGTCCACAGTCACAGACAATCACCACTCCCCCCCTTATAGACAATCACCACTCCTCCGTCATAGAAAATCACCACTCCCCACTCATAGACAATCACCACTCCTCCGTCATAGACAATAACAACTCCTCATTCATAGACAATCACCACTCCCCCCTCATAGACAATCACCACTCCTCCGTCATAGAAAATCACCACTCCCCCCCCTTATAGACAATCACCACTCCTCCGTCATAGAAAATCACCACTCCCCACTCATAGACAATCACCACTCCTCCGTCATAGACAATAACAACTCCTCATTCATAGACAATCACCACTCCCCCCTCATAGACAATCACCACTCTTCCGTCATGGAGAATCATCACTGCTCATTCTTAGACGATCACCACTCCTACGTCAGGGATATTTACCACCAGGTGTCCATGTGCGATAATCGCTTAGCATCAGGTAAAACCGCCTTCTCGCTTGACAACTTAATGCATAAAAAAGGAACTGTGATAGTTGCATTCATACATAGTAACGTGCATGATATACTAGGAATATTAATTCTACCCACAATTCCAAACAAGAGTAATTTTTTTAAGTGACAATGCATACATTTCTACAAGAAAATCCTATTCTATCCTATCGTATTGGTATAAAAAAATTCCCGCTGAGTTTCTATCGCCGGTTCTTCTCGGGTCAGATGGATTTTCTTTTCCGACCCGTTATTAGTATTTTGACAATCAATGAATGAGTGATATGCTGATATTTGATTTTGATTTGGATTTTGCAGAGTCGTGGTCCTAGAGTCGCACACTCTGCACAACACACTGTCGAGTGACGACGGGAACGATTTGTACATTCTCGCCGGCCACGAGGCTTCCTATTGAAGCGGGCTGGACTGAGGAGTATGTCCCATCGCGCATTCAGGGTTTGCAGCATCGGATGGAGTCAACGGAGCGAAGGTGGACGAAGTAGTTTAGTCTCAGCATCGACGCCAACTCGACCGCTAGTGGTGGGCGCATAAAGACGATGTAATCGGGCCTCGAGGGTATATCTCTCGATTCGGGAACGAGTTGTAGGGAAGGTTCGGAACGTGCGATTGCATTTTATTTTTACATTTGGGGGTAAAGCTTCGAAAACCTCCGCCGGTTCGTTTTTAGACTGTCCATCAGCTGCCGTTGGCGTGGACACCGGTGAATTGCATTTCGAAAATCACTTCGTATAGCGAGAAATGTTTAGAGTAAAAACTAACACTACGATAAAAGTACGAATTCTGGTCAGTTTTGCGTTATGCGAAATTGGACGGACTCAATAGGTACCTCACAAGCTGTGCGTAGGGCGTTTGTATAATATCATGAATTAATTAAATGGCTTAACACCTATAACTAAAACCCAGTTTTTTTGAAAATTTTGACTGTATTTGTGAACCAGATGTAGAGTGCCAATGATTTAAAAGTAGATAAGTACTTTATCTTAGAACGGAGTCTAATGTCAGTGACCATTTTTATCCAGCATAGTTTGGAATTCATTATAATTATGCAAGGAACAATATTCGAACATCTTATCTACTCCCACACCATTGATATTGGGAAGGCAAGTAGGTTACCCTGAAGACAGAGGCAGTTAGAATACGAACGCTCTCGCACAGTTTAATTTGGATTAAACGATATCTCAATAGCAAAGGGTAGTTTACAAAGTTGAGCCGCGTCGGCGAGATCAAAGTTTCTTGGACATAATATTTTTGACGACGTAGTATTGTCATAATTTTACTTTGGAGCAGCTTGGACAAAGTTCCCTTGGACAATTTTCTTCACATAGATCTCACAGTTGATGCCAATTGGCTTAGTTAATTCCCTTCCGAACTTCTTTAACAATTGCTTCTCGATCCGATTCGGCTTTTGTGCACGCCATAGTCTAAACGCGCTTTCATAGTGCTGCCACTATCGGAATAGAGCCTAAGTCGCTGTCAAACGTACTTTGTCAAAGAAGACTTTGGTCTTGCCGAAGGGGCTTTTTTTAGGGTAGTTTAAAATATCCAGCCGTCGATTCCCCGTCGACGGTTTCCCGAAGCACTGCCATTGTATCCATTCCTTGGACTTACGGAGCAATATCGTGTCGAAGTTTGTCCCTTTCCGGGTAAGTCGCATGAGAATAACACTAAGCAATAACAAATCTTATGACAGATTGTAGGATCGATAATGCTGTGAACGCCGTGACTTATCGTCAGTTTGAATACAGACCGTCACTTTGGTATACAGATCTCAATTTCCTTCAACCTTTTTATTTTTTTCTATTATTTTTGTGACTGTTTCGAAACGTATATTTATTTGAATACATGTAATTGAAAATCCAGTTTAGTGTTTGAGCTTCGCAAAGCTCTTCATTTAGATATTTATCCCTAAAAATATTGTTATGGACGATTTGTTTTAATTTCATCTCGGCTTATTTTCGTAAAAATGGAAAAAATAAATTAATGATTTTTTACGAGAACCACAAAAGCAGCACCTAATTTCCTACAAAAAAAAAACTAATTTCTATCATAAGTCGACAAATGTTTTAAACATAATTTATTAGAGATCAGGCCTGTGGAACTTTCAAACAATACTTCTTTTTTAGGGATAGATGTTTGTTTCAACTAGCACTTTTAAAAATTTCATAATAACTCCTCTGACTACTATTTTGAGCCAGCGAAGAATTTCATCACAGCGTTATCGACCTTATGACATCTGCGAAAAGAACTGAGGTTGAGGAATAAAATCATTAAATAAAAACTAGGTACTTCGTTCAACTCTAGGTTATAAAGCGATATCATAGTACTACGGCGATTCTCTAATCGCACGGCGACTTAGCCTTTCATTGTATGAAGCTATTCTCTCTTAGACTAAATCTAACTAATTAACATTGCTCATTGCTGCGATAACATAAATATAACTCATTATTTTTCAATACAGTAGAAGGAGTAGAAGTCGGTAAAAACTTATTAAATTTCATTCATACTAGCGGTTTAACTTCGCCGACCAATGGCACAGTGACTAGAAAGATTCAGAGTTATTGATAACCTGACAACCTCTTAAATACACTTCCTCAACTTCATGGAGTCTTTTTGAATGGAAAGTATCATAGCAGCAAATTTCATCTGAATTCGTTTAGCCGTTGCGGAAGAGGAAACAAACACGCGACAAAAACTTTCGCGTTTACAATAATAGTGTGCTATTTCTGTATTTAAATTTATGTTTCGCTTTATTTTCATGAAAGAAATAAAATGTGGTTGTGATGCATGGAAGACATACTTTAGAGGTCGTCAGAATATTAACAATAACTCTTATATTTTTTATTCAATGCCATGCGTCTATATTCGTGCTGTTTGCATTTTATTTTCGCCTCTCAATTAACTTAGTCGACGAAAGGATTCTATTTATTTATAAATAGCTCTTATATAAACAACCAAATAATTGTGATTTATTAATCGCCCGGCGGCGTTCTGACGCCGGAGCTAGCGTAATGGGTAATTAACGTTAAATAATATATAATTATATGAAAAAGACAACTTAGCCTCTCGGTGTCTACGTTATGTACATACATAGGTACGTGATAGTTTCAAGAAGCGAGCAAAATTTAAATGCGTCACTGGAGTCTTTCTGAGTGACAAGGCCAGTATAGTACTCTGCGATAAATACCTACTGCATGTCGACCTCTGGAAAGAGACAGTCGGCTTTGTAGAGCGTTATCTCTATAGCACACTTGCACGTATGACAGATGTCACACGGATACTGTGTGACAGAGATAACGTTCTAAAAACCAACTGTCTCTTTCCAAAGGTGAATGTTCCATATTTAATTCGCGCCGTTGTGTTATCCGTTATCTATTTTGTTTGCACGTTTGCATATGAATTTAAGCGAGTCAATATATACGATAATGGCCCTAAAGGACCCACCGTTTTAATCGACAACTGGCACTATCTACATTTTATAACGCCGAACTAAATTGTGTACAGTGGCAAAGAACACCATTTTGTGAATATGAATTAACTTTTATTTATTAATTTATTTAAACTTTATACACAGACTAGTACAAAGGCCGACTTAATGATGGTATTTTCTACCACTCAACCTAAGGGTGGTGTAGAAGTTTAGTTTAACGTTGGTGTACAGTTGCGAAAAACTGTGCTAATCGGACTTTCGAAGGCAGATTTTCAGATATTAGCTTAGGACTGAATGAACGATAACTCCGATTATTGCACGCGATTGTACCGCGGAGTAAACTTCAGACGCATTTGAGTTTCGCTCGATCAATATGATCCCTGTACACGATTATTACTTGTGGCTTATTTTTTTTAATTTTGTAAATATTATAACGAAATATTCCAACTAGTTTATAGTCAATTGTATGATATCACTAGTGTAGTTATTGTAATTCTAATTAATGTATGTATTTAATTTTCGTATCTCTGTTCGTTGCGAGAGAGATCGGATCTATCGATGGAGATTATGATGTAAGTCTCGAACATTGTTATTTCAACCATCAAAATAATATTCGTGATTCAACGTTAATATGTATAATGACAAATTGTTTTACCCGCGGTACGATAACTAGACTCTATTTTAACGATCGATTTAAATCGATGTCATCGCTCAAATGTTCTTTCGCAGATTGCACGCTCGCTGGAAAGCGGCACATATTTACATATGTTTCTGTATTTATTGTATATTAATTTAATATATATTACACGGACAATAATATTAGTTTATCAGCTTGCCAGTGAAGCTATATAGTCGAGATTCGTGAAACGATTAGTGTCGGCATACAATTTACTTTTCGAACCTGATGTCATACATAATACTAGAAAAATGTCTCTCTCACTAGCAATTTTTTATTATGTATTTGGAAATAAGATAATTTTGTTATATACACTTGCGTTCGGAAAGCTTTTCAATAACTTTCAATTGATCACAGATTATACAACTGCCGCCGATGTATTATTAGCTACTTGTTTAACATTTCTAATTTGTTAATTTCAGGCTTTGCGTTTGTTGAAAATTTTAATGAACTGTGTTGCTTTGATTTATCCCCTTTTAATTTATATTTTCCCCTCCAATAAAATTTTATTTTCAAGTTTTGATTTCTTTTCATTTCATTCGCCCGTTTTTTTTTTTGCCATAGTCCAGTTCGTATGTATAAGTGGTTTTTATTTTTTTAATTTAAAACTTCACAATAAGGCGCAAGATTATGTTATATGTAAAAACATCATTATTTTAATACTTTTGATTTTTATTAATAATATTTAAAGGCAAAATTGTATTAAAGAAATATTATTTAAGTACCAATATGAAATTAGAGCATAGACCTATGTGATTTCGATTTTTTTATAAATGATTAGAAATTAAGGTAGTCTCATATTCAACCTTCTTGAAAATCGTGTTATTATTATACTTAATGTCCTATGTTTGTCTTTAGCCTCTTCGAATCTAGAATCTTCCAAAAAAAAAGAAAAAAAGTATTGCCAAACCAACTTTGTGCGGCACAAGGACTGAACAAGGCTGTATTACAGAAAATAATGTATTTTAGTAAGTACGATTGTGTTTAGTGATAATTATATTAGTTACTTTGAGTTCCGTAGCTTATAGCGGATATTGTTTGTACTAGCGATAGCGGAAAGTGATTCGTAGAATATTACAAGAACAAAACATGCACTAAAACTTATTTTAGATTGTCTATTAAGTAATAACATTTATTAGTTTCTAACCACAACAAAGCGTATCATTACGAATTTGTAAAATAAAAGTTCGCGACGAATCCATCAGTCTACTAACATTGCTGTTTTTTATTCTGATTCTTTAATAATGCATTATAAACTTATCAACCTTGTATCGAAATAATTCCATCTATAAAGATTTTTATAAAGATTTATTTATAAGAATTTATCTTGAAGTCATATGCATTGAGGAATTTGCTTGATAAGCTACCACTTTATAGATTTTAAATCTACTAGAGACTAGTACAAAGAAGAATAAGACTTGAACAATTTTTAGTCAGTTGCCGTAATGCATCGTTTTGAATTTTTACTAATCGTCGTTTTGACTAATTAGAGATTAAATCAGATTACTGCCGAACATTTTTCTGTCTATCGCTAGTAAGACATTCTCGAACCGTAGTAGAGCTGCGTTTTATAGCGATTAAGACGTTTTGGAATTAATAATTGTATGATAAGTCGGTCGACGTTCGAGCTCACGGAACACCACTAGTCTATTTCGCGTCTAAGTATTTTGTAGGACTATTTGTTGGTCCGTCGCAATTTTTGTGGGGAAGCGGCGATATCGGCGTAGCGGCGTTGTATTTTTATAACGGAAATTGTTACGACCAACAAATAATCGAGTTTAGCGTTAAAAATGCGAGATATTATAATATTCTATAGATTAAACAATTCAAATCGAAAGTCTGGTATAAAGTCTATTAAAGAATGTACTTTGGCATACAATGCTAAGTAGATCTTTACCTTCAGAGACGAACAAAAGGATAGTGCGTAGAGCCGTTATTATTATGTAGACTATATATTATGTTTATGTATATCTGTATTAAAAAATAAGCTTTTTTATTAGTTAAATAGCGTGTCCAACTAACTTTTATTCATCAAATTTATACTTATTTACTACTTTTGTTTAATCAAATCGCAACGTGTAGCTAATTTCACAATAGTCAAAAGTAAACGCTAGCTACACCACTAACTTAAAGTTTTTTTGGTACATAATAATGATTTGGCTTGTTATGTTCAAAACGAAAGATATGGGTAAAATTATATTTTTATTTGTAATTTTTCGAATATTTTCTATTTTCGCTTATTTAAGAGCACTCGAATGAAGTACAATAAACGCACGTGTACATAATGACACACTATTATTATACGAGTATTTTTTTATCTGCTCCGACAATGTAAATAGCTGAACATTCTAAGTTGTCTCACGATAGATTCTATCGGCTGTCCCATCAAAAGTAGCACGTTGTTACTTTTTTTTATTAAAAAAAAACTGCATTCTGTTCAATGGGGCGAATAAAATAGCGGCTCTACATAGAATTTTGGCGGGAAATAATGAAAAGGCCAATAGTTCGTACAAATGGGACATTATTTTCATATGGTTGTCTTTCCATTTCTCTCTATATTATATTAGTGATAACTACAATAAAATTGAATTTAAATGTAGATTAGCGTCGGCGAGATATATTATAGATATGATATTTATTTTCGTTATGGCGGGTAAATTCGGATACAAGTGGAATGTACATAGGCGAAGACAGGACGTAGGTAGCTAGGCTGAGGTGAGTCGTCAGAATAACAATGTTAACATTCGAAGTTGTTTCTCCAACAAATTTTATTCCCAAATAAAATGATAATACTAATTGAATGTTGTTTTATTGTATTTGATACGTCGTCTATTCAATATACGTGTACGTCGAGTTAAATTGTGTACACTAATAGAAAATTTTTCTTCAGAACACTATTTAGGTATTAAAATTTGTATTTATTAAGCTGCAACAACTTCTTCCATACTAAATTTATTTAGGTAACAAAGGAAATGTGTTTTATATGTTTTTAATAAAAGCCAAAACAAATTTTTACACTAACGTAGTGCGAAACATATAATTCCGACTAATGATGTTTATTAATATAAATGACACATATCCATACTGCGCGACGTTTAAAAATTGTTCCGCTTTGCATTTTATGACATATTTATTTTTCAATTAAACAAGACATATTTCTATGAAAACATGTTCACCATAAACTACTGCACATAATTTGACATAAGCGCAGACCAGACCACGGGCAATAATATAACATTGTATGCTGTTAAATACTTTCCTTTATAAAAATTATCGGTCGCGCGTGAGCAATAGCTTTCTAGGTTTTCCGACAGAAGATTTCAAACCCCCTACAACACAGGATAATGTTATCCTAAAGTAAGGGCAATGTGTTTTAAATTTAAAAAAAAAACATTCCTCAAGTTTTGGTTAATAAGAAACTAGAAGAACGGAATTCGAGCAACATTCTGAGAAACAAAATTTAAAACATGTCAGCAATTAAAAAAACAAACAAGGAGTACTTTTTTTACGTGAGAAGGCGGCAAGCGAGCTGTCGGTTCACCTGATGTTAAGTGACTACCGCAGCCCATGGACATGTGCAACACCCGTAGGGTTGCAGATGCGTTGGCACCTTTTAATAAAGTGGGCCCCGGCTACCTCAGTCATCAGACAAAACACACAAACGCAGGTTGCTGGAGTGTATTGAATTAAAATAAAAGCAGGTGCCTGGACACTGAGCTACCACATATTAGTGTATAAATATGTTTCTAATCATAAAATGTGATGCGTAGTTTAGAATGTGTTTAATTTCTGTGGTTTAATTTTATATCACTAAAATATTTTGGAAGAACATTCCTCATAATTTATTTTAAAATTCTCAAAATTATATGAAAGGGTTAAAGGAATGAGGTAAGCAATAGATTTTCTTATTAATGTGGTAGGGTCATGAAGCAGCTTCTGCAGTTGCACAAATGGCTAGGGGCAGTACCATTGCCTCGAAAAGAGGCAAGTGGGAGAACTACACTTTTGCCCTTCTGCAGCGGTAATCACTTAAAATCAGGTGATCACTTACTTGTTTACCAGCTTCTTACAAAAAATAAAAAAATCTTAATAATAGAGCTATACTCGAATGTTAGTAAACAAGAGTTATTTAGTAAAAGGACGTAGGAAATGTGTTTATTAAATGTAACCTTAAAATTAATTATTAACAAGAAATATCACATTAATCATCTTCGATCATTTCGACATCTTCCACGTCTTCCTTTTTCTTTCCAGCACCGGCTTTCTTTGCTGAGACAGCTTGTTTGTAGTTCTCCAAGGCTTCGGTTAAAGGTTCCACAAATCTATCGAATTCAATGTCCTTCATCGCCTCTAGAACATCTTGACCTGTTAAAGCCTTCCTCTTATTATTCTTAACTATGTTCGTCGCCGCAGAAGTAACGTATAAAACAAAAACTGAAGCCGCTTTGGCTAGACCGGTACGCGCTTCTTTTGAAATGGACACACCTTCTGGCAGTGATTCCTTCACAATACGAGTTACGACAGTTAAGGGTAAATTTAAATCTTCTAGTTTTTCGGCCATTTTCATGTAATATTACTTTACAATATATAAACTTAACATGTCATTAGTTTGTCTGCACCCGCAGTAAAATTTTAAGCGCCAAGAAATTCAATTTGACATGTCAATGTCAATGTCATGCATTAAAGTAGGGACAGTGTCTTATCTACAGACGGTAGGGACAGACGTTGTCAAGACTTGGCTTGAAAGAACCGAACTTTTTCGGTTGTTAATTTATAGTTTCGTATTTACGAAACACCTAATTAGAACCAAAATTAGGAAATATTATTAAACTATGCTCATTTATTGTGATGAAGTTTTGTGATTATAATATTAAACGTACCTAAATTTATAGATAACTAGCGATCCGCCCCGGCTTCACACGGGTGCAATGTATTATACATATAAACCTTCCTCTTAAATCACTCTATCTAGTAAAAATAACCGCATCAAGATCCGTTGCGTATTTTTAAATATCTAAGCATACATAGGGACAGACAGACAGCGGGATGACTTTTTTTATACTATGTAGTGATTGTGATACTGGGATGATGTTAGCGAGCAGGCAGGAGGGAATTTTTAAGGTGCAGACCAAAAAAGAATCCTAGTTGAAAAACCATAATATTTTATTGTTACTGGTTGCTTTAGTGATTCATCAACATAATGGTGAGGCTAGACCAGAAGAGAGTAAGAGTACATAAGATAAAAGCAGTGCTACACATGTATGTTAATCCGTTGCCATTTAACAGGCCGCTGATATTATTAGTTGCACCAAGTGTAATAGTAATTGCAATTTTTTTTTTTTTAATTTATTGGGACATAAAACAGTTATACATTAACAATTATACATAAAATGGATTTTCTAATTATTAAACTAAACGTATAACCCACACCAATGTCCGCAAAATAATATTAAGTTTAATAAAATAAAAAGAGTAAGTTGGTTCCTAACCTAATTTGCATATTACTTTTTAAGTATTAGTGTAACCATTCTTTTAAATTGATTTTGGGAAAGTGAAAACAAATCACAATTCATAAATTTAGAGTTATATACATCTAGCGCTCTACGAAGCCCCGATTGTTCTACACTTTTCAGTGTAGAACAATCGGGCCACGCGTGCATCGCGTATGGTAACTCTTCTTGGTACAATGTAAGCAATCCTGTTAGTAAGCTCCATACAGTCGAATTTATTATTACATAATCCATATAACAGCATAGCCATAGCGAGAGTGCGCCTGGACTCCAAACTCAATATCTCATATTTTTCTAATAATTGTACATAAGAAAGCCTAGCGTGAAAACATTTAAAGTGCATAGTGCGTAAGAATTTCTTTTGTACAATCTCTATTCTTGAAATGTATTTTTCATAGAAGGGATTCCATATTGGAACAGCAAATACTAATTGAGAACGAACCAAGGTTTTGTATAAGAGTAGGAAAGTCGAAGGACGCTTAAAGTCATCGGTCGAACGCATAACAAATCCAAACAACCTAAAAGCATTATTAATAATATTATCAATGTGTATATTAAAGTGCAGCTTTGAATCTAGAGTCACACCAAGATCTCTAATGAAGTTAACCCTTTCTAAGGGTACATCATTCCCTACAGCAAAAACTGTGCAGATCAAAATATATATATATTAATTATTTTATATATATGTATAATAATAATAAAAAAAATATGAAGTCACTGCTGCACCACTGCTAGAAAATTAAAAAAAAAAAAACATGTTAACCAAAAAGAAAAAAAGAGTACGGACCACGAGTCTGTAGAGTTACTTTGTTAAAATAAAAAAAAAAAAAAAAAAAAAAAAAAAGGGTACATCATTAATAAAGTAATTGAAACTAAGTAAATTTTTCTTTTTTGTAAAAGATATCATTTTACATTTGGGTAGACTTAGGTTCAATTTATTTTCTAGACAGTATCTAGAAAATCTGTTCAGATCTTCCTGGAGAAATATGCAATCCTCCAGAGTTCGACATGTCTTGTAAATTTTGATATCGTCGGCGTACATCAAAAACTTTGAATGAAGAAAACAAAATTTGAGATCATTGATGAATAGAATAAAGAGAAGAGGCCCTAAGATAGATCCTTGAGGAACCCCAGAAGGAACAAATATATAATCTAATTCAAAGCCATTAATAACGATTTTCTGCGTCCTTCCAAATATGTATGACGAAAACCACCGCAGTAAATTTCCACGAATGCCATTATACGCTATCTTGTCCAGAAGTAATTTATGATCCACCTTGTCGAAGGCTTTTTGAAAGTCAGTGTATACTGTATCAGTTTGCTGTTGCGAATCCATGTTTTCAAATAAGTGGTTTGTAAATACCATAACATTGGTAGTTGTGGATCGACGTTTTATAAAGCCGTGTTGTTCAGGTATGATAAGATTATGAATATAAGGGTACAAGGTGTTGTGAATTAGTCTTTCGAAAAGCTTGGCCAAGGTGCTTAGTTTAGAAATTGGTCTATAATTTTCTATATTACTTTTATCGCCACTCTTTTAAATTGGAGTAATGTAAGCACGCTTCCAAATGTTTGGAAATTTGCCTTCCATAAGACACTTATTAAATAAAATTTGTATTGGGAAAACAATATGATCTGCAGTAGATTTAAAAAAGATAGGAGGTATACCATCAGGTCCAGGACCCTTGTTTAAATCCAAATTTTGCAAAGCCTACGTGCTTTGCAAAATTTGGATTACATCGTCGGTAGTTAAGTGTATCTGGCTTAAGCAAGAAGCATTATTAGCAAAGTTAGAAGGAGGTTGCCAGTTTATAGGATCAAATGAACAGGGCTCGTACACGGATGTGAAGAAAGCTGAGAATAAATTACATATTTGGGTAGGATCATTAGAAAAAAAAAATTAAACATCAAAGCGCTATGCAGTAGTGAATATAATTATGCGTAAGACAAGAGGGTCACCTACACTTCCTTAGAGGTCAGGCGAGGCGAGCTTCTATACCCGCGCATATAGTCATGGGCACCCTATCCTCTCAAGTAGAGCGTTATAGCAGCAATAACGAGAAATGATAGTCTTAATAGTTAACTATTGCGCCATGCTATATGAGGAACGGAAGCGCGCAAATATAAATTGATTCAATTAATCTACGGGTAATACTGCGATTCGGGGTCCAAAATATGATGTTAGGTTGATTTTCCTAATAGCCGGCTGCCGTCATTGTAAAAGCTAGCTAATTATTAAAGAGTATGATTAATTATTATTATTTTGTATTAATTAATGAGTTCATTTCTATAAAACCACTATACTATACGATAGTACTAAATACAGGTATATTATAAAGAAGTTGTTTATATGTTTGGATGTTCTATTATTTTATCACTTCAATAATATTACATATATACGTGTCGAAACGATAGCTTACTTTTTTGAAGTCAATAAAAAAAATTAAAATAAAATACCTTAAAAGGTCCATCACCGGTTGGCAACGCATTTATCACATAAAATCAACATATCAATCTTATTAGGGGCCCCATTCAAAAATCAAAATCCTGCAGTCCGGCAGTCCACCTCGGATGTATGTGAAAAGTGAATGTTTTCGCAGCCTGTACCTGCAGCCTGTACTGCAGGATTCACCTTGTGTCCTGGAAGTACCTTTCGTAATCCCACGCGCCGTGCAGAATAGTCAGTGGTTTGGCGGCTTTGGCATCCTGCGTGGTTAACTGGCGTGTTGCAAGGAAGGAGGAGTTTATTTGGGCAACACAGGCTTAGAAGATTGTATTGTAATATACAAAGAAAACAGGTGCAAAAACCACAAAATCGAAGTAACAAACAGTTGAGAAATGTGAAACTGCAAAAATTACTTAAAATATGGGGAAAAAGTGACATAGGTCAGGAGGGACGTTCCCTAACGAATTATTAATAGTTTCTTTTTCCCCACGCCCTCTTTTATTTTTATTCAATGACAAAAAAACATAGTAGAATTGCTATTTTCTAAACAGTCTGATGGATTTTTAGGGTGAAACTATTGAAAGTATGAAACATTGAAGTGACGATTCTAAAAATCCTGTTGTGGTTTGTTTACAAACATTCTATATCGGATTTAACGGAAGGTTAAGCGACTGCACTATGTTCGGCGTTTTTGCTTTTGTAAAATAATATTTATTGTTAATTAAAAATAATTGAGAAAGCAATTAATGTAAGACTAACTAATTGGAAATGAATAAATTCTTTTCATCTGGTCTGGCTTTAGGGAAAAATTGTCAACGGTTGATGCTATTGAAGAAATAACTTGCCATATTGCTCAAAAACTGGACATGAAAAATAAATGCGTGGCAATATTCCTAGACCTAGCAAAAGCCTTTGACACTGTATCTGTGCCTATCCTAATTCACAAATTGGAATGTGCAGGTTCCGTGGAACCCCACTAAAACTATTTCAATCTTACCTTACTGACAGAGTTCAATGTGTTAATGTAAATGGCATAAAAAGTGAACAGATTTATATCAATTTTAGTATTTTACAAGGTTCGGTTCTTGGCCCTTTATTTTTGGTTTATTTAAATGCTAGCCTGGTTGAGTTTACAGAAAAAAAATTTTTTATTATTGTTATCAATTAACTTGTTTTCGGATAATGTTATGTAGCGCCATCTCACAAAGTTTTGGGGTACTAGTATGCTGTCATCCAATAAGCAAAAATGTAATAAGAGGTCAAATTTATGTGATGGCGCTTTGAATGTGTATGTATATGTATTTCAGATATATTTAAAAGTACTGGTATATGACATTAAAAGATTTTACACAAAAATATTTTGTTTTTTCACTAAAAATGCTTTTAAAGGACAAACTTAAAACGCGAAACCTGTTCTAAATACAAAATTTATAATTATCAAAACGTTAGAGGTCTCCGTACAAAAGTAAATACTTTATATCGTTATCAAACGTACCTTTAATATCAGAAGATCATTTTCATCCGGCCTTAGAAATTGATGCCTCCGGAATTTTATTGGCTGAAGAACAACCTAAACCAGCAACTAAATATAATTTTTTTAAAGGA